CACTGAGCTATATGTCCAGATCCACACAATATTTTATTCAATATTCACAACACTTCATTTGTAAATACTATTATTGATATCATCATATTATAGATGGTGAAAAATGAAGATCAGAAAAGTCAAGTAGCAGTTTCTTAAAGACGAGTAGAGGGCTGGTGATATGGCTCAGGGATACAGTGCTTGCCTCCCTTGGCAAGGTCCTGGGTTCAATCCCTGGTTTTACATTAAAAAAAAAATTAAAGGCAAGTAAATGCCACACTTTTTTGGCACAAAATAATTAAACTGGTCCTTTCTGTTGCCTGATTCATCTACATTTTTCATGGAAGCTGACCGGGCTAGGGAACAGACAATGTTATGCTTAAATGTAACTCTTTTGCTCACCTGCAATAGTTTAGGAGAAAAACACTTGAGTTGCCAAAGTGAAACCCACTGTGCCAGTAAATATCAAAATGTCCTTCAGTTCTCTGATCAGTGAATTCTATACCTACACAAAATAATTATTGCTTTCATAAAATGTCCCTGTTTGCTACTGACAAAGAGAAAACTGAACCAGTATGTCCTATAGTAGCCTTTAAATAACCAAGGAGAGAGATCAAAATAAAAATAAATCTTGACCAGATTTATAGGTACACCTTGATTAGTTCTTGTTTTTTCCTTCAAATAAGCAATACCTGAAAAAAATGAAAAGGGAATGTTGAGACCAGATATCAAGTAATAGATGGGTTTTCTCTGACATACAGTATGGTATAATGCTGAAAAAATAATGCCGGCCCATCATTCGTGATGTTTACCAGCAAAGTAGAGCAGGGAGAAAGATGAGGGCATGTTTCAGGATGCTGAATGGTCCCACCACTTGGACTTGAATGAATTATTGTTTGCTAACAGCACTTCTGAAAGTTTTGTGATGGTGTGACATTATGTTGTTTTCTCCAACACAACTGTCCATTGAGAGATTTTGTTTGGTTAATTTGGTTTTCTGAGGATTTTTGTTTGTTTATTTTGATTTTGCTTTAACAGGTAATAAATTTTTGATTGAGCGCTTGCCTACCATGTGGGAGGTCCTTGGTTTGATTCTCAGCAGCACATGCGCTCATGCACACACACACACACACACACACATACACACAAGCACAAGTTAAAAATGCTAACATTACAATCAAATATCATTCATTCATTCAGATATTAATTCTGGTGCTGGCAAATGAGAAGGCGTAACTAATAAGGATTTAATTCTACACTTGGAGATACAACTGGAATTTGCCCACTAAGCCATCACTTCCCTTTCACGCTCCAAACTGTACTCAGCTTCTCAAAAGGATATTCCTCAATTAGGAGAAATGCCACTCAATATAACTAAGAATCATTATTTGTAAAATGGGACAGGTCTCAGCTTTCTATAAACCACCTTTTTAATGAAAACTTAATTTCCCTCAGGCAGCCCTTTATCTAGGATGCATTTGGCGAGTTGAATAAAAATACCTGTGAAAGGAAAGAAGGTTCCCATCAACGCTGTTGAAATCTGATTTCATTTCAGATTCTAGAACTAATGCTGTTTTTTTTTGTTTAAATAGATTTTGTCTGTCAATTTCCAGACCCGCTGTGCCATCAGCCTGTATGGACTGCTGTGGTCAACACGGGGGTTGTAGCAGCAAATTTTATTATGGACTGGTAATTGAATTGAACAGGTTTACATTTGAATAGATTTACTACATCATGATCTCTGACATACTGCGTGGGACTGAAATCCCTCTACATCCATAAAGATACATTTAAGACGGTATCATTCTCTCCAGGCTTAGAAAGCAAGTCTTGGGCCAAGGAGATGGCCAAACATAATTGTGCATTTATATGCAGGGTGTAAAGCAATATTTCACTGCATTTTTTTAAGTACAAAAGAGAAAAGAATATACCATATTTACTTATAACTACCCCAACCTTTCTGTTTGGAGGAGGAGGAAGTGAGGCTTAGAGAACTGAGATTTTGCTATCCAAGTGGACAGAAACAAGTAAAGGAAAATGAATTATTATTTGAGCATACCAGAAATAGCAGCAATTCCCTTGAAAACAAATCCTCTAAAGGCTTGATAACAGCAACTGAAGAGGTGTGAATTATAGATAAGCAGATCCCCGTTTACTTTCACCAACAATGTTTAATTAAACATAGTTCACACCTCTCCATTCACTCTTGCCACCCTTCAGGAGTGTTCCTCTTAAAAGCTACAACTGGAAAAATTGTTTAAGGGAAAATATTTTTTTTATTCCTCTGTTTAGACTTAGAAGGACAATCAGGTGAGTAAATTACAGTGGTAAAATAAAACTAATAAAAAAATCTATCTTCCTAGAAATAAAGGGGAGTTTCCATGTACTTTAGTGTTTTTTTTTTTTTTTTTTTTGGAGGGGGGATTCCAAATCTAGGACACTTTTATGTAGGATACACACACACACACACACACACACATACATACAGATTTCTTTTATAACATTTAAAACAATTGATTTGCTTTTTTAAAAAAAAAAATCATCCCTCAACTAAACTTTTCTTAAGAATCAGTCTAGTCTAAATCTCTACTGCCTAACAAAGTAGCAATATAAATATAATGAAGACCAAAAAATGCCTACCACTTATTATTACATTCTGAATTAGATTTTTCTTTGTGTGAGGCTGGGGTCAACTCTACATTCTGAATTGCCCTTTGCTCATCACCCTAAGATGCGGTTTAAGGCAGTAGCTAAGAAGGTTTTCTACCTCAACCATAATAAGAAACTGCCATCATTGTAACTAAAAGGAAACTTTTTTTGTCTTATGGGTTAGATTGTTGTTGAGTTTTATGTATGTGTGTGCCTTTGTCAATAATGGTCCTTTGGTTATTTTCATATAAATTCTCACTAGTGAGAGTAACGGAGTTGGTCTCCTCATTTTTATGTCACTGGCACCTAGAGTAGCCTCTGGCACATGGGAGGATCTTAATAATATTTAGCAAACAGAAGATAAATGCGAAACATGTTAACTGTGAAAAATCCTAACAGTGCCAAAGGATCCCCGTCCTCATATTTATTCACCAGTGTAACCTTCACACCAATCTTCCCTCTTTTTACTTCTCCATGCCTATACCAACACAGTGTAGTACCTTCTCCAATCTTTCTGCTTTCCATGTCCCTCTCCGCCACCCCTATAGACATACATATAAACTGAGTCATCCATGGGACAGTTTGCATTTTACTTTATCTTTTGCTTGATAATGGATGTTGATCACCTTTCAAGATGCTTTAATTATAAAGTTATATGTTTGTTTATAGCTCCTTTTTCAAGAGGTAAGCAAAACTGAAGAAGAATTCAAGAGGGTCTTCATTGTTCCTAGTAGACAAATAAGAGGCAGACAGATATGGTATAAATTCCATGTACTGGAATATAATCTAATCCACTAATCCTTGTATGTCATAGCACACAGGAAATTGGAACTGAAAGAAACTGGATAAAATTATGAGATCTAGTAATAACACACCCAAAGCTCAAGTTCAACTAACACTTGGGCCTATGTGGACTTAAAGGTATAAAAAAAAATGAGGATATCCAGTGACAACAAAATATACCTAATAAGGTAAATTGCAGGAACAAAGCATATTTTATGATGCAATGGTATTTATATTTAATTAACCTAATTTTTCCAAACTTTACCATATTTTTTCTTTGTTACTTACAAATTATCATATTTATTTTAAACTCTGGTACATTTTCTGAAGAGGAGGAAACAGAAAGGTCTAAATGAGATATGTAAAATGCATATCTCCAAAGCACACAGAGACACATTAAAAAAAATAAAAGACTAATAAGTAGGTCTTTTAAAGAAAAAAACAATTTTTCTCTATCTCCAAGCTGAAATGTCAGTCTTGATAAACATGCTGAAATATACAAATATTTCAGGTCCTTGGATGTGCGGAATAGGTGAAAGGCATCCAGCAATCCATGGGTTCAGTTCCTGGCACCACCTGTTACTAACTGGGTAAGCTTAGGCAAATTGTTTAACATGGGATACATGTTCACTGTTAATATTTTGTGTCTGTTGTTATCTCTGACTGAAAACAAATGGAAAGCCATTTTAATATCATATCACAAACCCTTTTTAGTAGAAAATAGGTTGGAAAAAAAGAAAGAGTATTTTAAACCCAAGATTAATTTTTTAAAAAATATGTGAACCATAGCTAAACTATGGAATCAGGCTAGGTTCCCTTTGACAGATGAATGGATTTAAAAAATTGTAGTAAATATACACAATGGAATATTACTCAGCCTTAAATAAGAATGAAATTATGGCATTTGCCAGTAAATGGATGGAACTAGAGAATATGATGCTAGGCAAAATAAGCCAATCTCAAGAGAACCAAAGGCTGAATGTTTTCTCTGATATGTGGATACTAATTCACAATGAGGGGTGGGGTGGGGGAGAACAGAGGTACTTTGGTCTAGACAGAGGGGACTGAAGGGAGGGGAGTATGAGGATAAGAAGGATAGTAGAATAAATTGGACATGATTATCCTATATGTATATATGATTACATGACCAGTGTAACTCTACATCATGCAGAATCAGAAGAATGAAAAGTTATACTCCATTTATGTATAATGTGTCAAAATGCATTCTACTTTCATGTATAATTAATTAGAACAAATCTTACAAAATCTATGAACCTGTTGATGACATAAAAAGCAAAAAGACATCAGTTGATTGTTTGTCTTCATCTCTTTCCTTTTGCAAACTGTAAAGTAGACAAGACCAGGACTGTGAAACATACCTTGTGTGTTCAACTGCAAATCAGATGTGTCCTACCTTGTCCTTCTGGTTAATGTCAAGCAGTTAGCGATGATGTATCAGAAAGTTTAGGGGCCAAGAAGGAGTATTGGGTACTGCTACCCCATCTTTTCTAGTTTTTCTGAAATTAGTGGGATTCCCTGTACCTCCAAATCCCATCACCTCAAACCTAAAGCATAGGGAAGTGCCTTACCTTCTTTCAGCATGCCCACTTTTAGACACTTCATGAAGCGGCAAGCCTGGCAGGATTTACGTCTGCGCTTTGTGATTTCACATTCGTTCGTGGCAGGGCAGCTATATTCTATATTACCTAAAACACAAAGTTGGAAGAAAAGAAGCTGTTAGACTTGCAAGACCCTGGAGATATTAGCATCCCCAAGAAAATGTCAACTCTGTCACTTCTGCTCCCTCCTTCCCCCAAAGTCACAGGAGTTTCATCTTGTTGGGAACATAAGAAATGACATGAATCTGGATACTGTGCTACTACCAGTGAGGATGCATTGCACAACTAGGGGGCATATGATGAAGCTCTTCAAAAACTTAAGTGTAAAATCAGTATTTTATGATAATAGTCTTCTTTGAAATTTCTTTTGGATCCTAACTTTCTGGAAGATTATCACTTTGCATGGGTGGACTCAGGAGAGGATCACTAAACAAAGACCACCTGAGCAAAGCACACTGATTTAGAACCTTTGGATACAAAGGTGACTGACACTTTGATTCATCAGACTGATTGTTTTCCTGACACTGAACAGCATAAACTTCCCAGTGCAAAATGATCAGGAGGTTAATGTGGAGCTATATGGCAAGCTCCTACAGGCAAGGGACAGCGATTACATAGTTCTACCTGCAAGACTTACTAGCTACCAGAGCCATAAAATAAATTCTTTGCTCAGTAAATGTTTAGTGATGATGATGATGATGATGATGATGATGATGATGGTCATCATCACTGAACATCATCATCGGGTTTGTTACATAAATTGCATAATTAATTTCAAATGCTTAAGCTCCTTGAAAATGTAATAATTAAGAATAAACCACTATGAAGTTATATTCTTAATATTAGACTTTGCATGACTTGCGGCAGTGCCTACACATTTCAAATGATAACTATGCAATCAGAAGAAGATCCAAACTTCAAATATTTCCTAGTCTGAGACAATGCCATTATATGAGAGGTGCTCTGGGCTGCCCACAGCTTTGTAAAGAAACTGCCTTTAAAATAAAGCTTCTCTGCCCTATCAGGTCTGTCACATAGTGCTTGAAGGTCTTTCGCTACTTCCTAACCCTTTCCCCTTGTGATTAAGTGCATTAGTATCTTAATGAAAATGCATTCTGTTTATTGCCCTCTTGGGAAGGGGGAGGTCATCACACCAAATGCATAAATTGTCATCAGAGACGGTCCGAGCATAATTGTAATTTTGCTGCTCCGTGTTTGCAATACTCAGGGTCCCTCCAAGTCCCCTGAAACATGCGAAGATTCTAGTAATTAGCATAGAGTCTGCCTGGGACCACAGCATTGATGAAATATTTCAGAGTTAATCACACTTTGTAAACACTGATTTATATTGACTACCTTTCTCCAGACTGATGGCTCCTCATTAAATATCACATTAGTGGATTGCAGGATTGTACAGACTCAACTACTCAGCAACTGCTAATTCAACAAGAAGTAATACCTAACCACTTATAACTAGTGAAAATTGGTTAAGTATGCATGACTTTAAAAAAAAGAGACTGTGCATTATAACTGGAGATAAGCCTATCAAAACTGACTAAATTAGCATGCTAATTTAGAACACATAATAATAAAAACAACTGCTTTTAACACGAGGTTAAATAATAAAACTGATGTTAATCCATAGACAGAAACGTTGACTATCACCTTTCTCCAAAATATTAATAATGTTGCACTCACTGAAATCTAAGAATAAGTCAAAGGAACCACACTTGCTAGGTCATGCCTGAAAATAAAAGGATTTTGAATCTGAGCATCAGATGAACCACTCTTCACTGCAGAGATCCTTAAACCATTCCTGAAAATTTATTTTGCATCAAAAGACTCTTGCTAGTAATTTTCTAAGGGTTAATTAGTGTACCACTAGCAGAGCCTTTCATTCTTTATGACATTCTCTATATTTATTTAAAAAGAAAACTGAGCCTTTGCCATCTTAGGAAAGACAGAATAATGACTGCTTAGAAGGACCAGAAAGAAGAAAACCTGTTTGCTAAACAGCAATTATTTTCTTTTGTGCCTAAAACAGTGGTATAAAGTAATATTTTGTCCACTTTCCCATTTGGAGGCATGAGCACTGGAAAGTTCTTACACAAGCTGGAAAGTTCTCCTAGATGACCTACCTCCACAAATAAACACAATCAACTTTCTTTCCAAACTAGTACCTCTACCTCCTTAGAAATTATATCCCCATCCTTCACATCAAGGCACTTCTGACAAATATAAATCAAGCACGAGTGATCTTATCCCTGGACCAGGACAGCTACCTCCTCCATTCTGTCGCATTCTGACAGTGCTGCACACTGTTATCTAGTTCCTCTCACTATGACTTTTCCATCATATCACTACCCCAATTTAACAAAAAAATCAATATGGGGCTTGGGGTATAGCTCAGTGGTAGAGCACTTGTCTAGCATGTGCAAAGCCTTTGGCTCATTCTCTATCTCTGCAATAATAATAATAATTATTATTATTATTATAACAGGAAATTGGAATTATTATTTCAAATCACTTCTTGGGAGACTGAGGCAGGAGAATAATGAGTTCAAGGTCAACCTGGACAACAAAGCAAGACCCTACACCAAAAAAAAAAAAAAGGTAGAAAAAGAAAGATCAATAGATTCCTATGCCCTCCTGAATTAAATATAAAATATTAGACTATCAAAGTTCTCTCCCAATCCAACTCTCATCTACTTTTATAGCAATATTACAATTATTACCTTAGATGAACTTTATGATGCAGCCAGTTTGATTTATTCATTTTTTTTTTTTTTTGCTATGTGTCCTTCAGACTTCCCTCTGAGAATGATGTCTCTCTGCCTCTTTTATCTTCTTAAAATTATTTCTAAGGCTCCATGTTCAACTCCAATTCCAGTAAAATCTTTTATGAAAACTTCTCAGACCATCCTAACAGAAAATGATTTCTTGGTTCTCATATCTTTTCAGGTACTCTCATCCAATAGAGAAAGGGCATATTTTGTTAGACCTTTTCACATACACATTGTCTACTAGATGGAGAGATGCTGGAGAACAATGACCATTTCTCATTCCTATTAAAATCTCCCACCAAGAAGTAGCATATAAGTGGAAGCATATACTTATAATAACTTGGTATTTTCTTGTTATGTCAAGGTCATTATTATCATGAACATTTATCATGGTGCTGTAATATAGTAAGAGCCACAGGACCAAGAGCTTTGGACATCCCTTTAGAAAACAATATTAAGAATGCTCAGAAAACCATGGCACAAATGATCAAAAAAGGTAGAGGGAAATCCAATTTCCTGGAAATCTTGAAAGTAGCTTAGACAAAAACAATGTGGACAAAGAGGGAGAGATTATCAAGGGGAAATAAAAAATATGCAAAACCCTCTAGAGAGTAAAGTAAAAAAGAAAAAAAATTGTAAGAGGTTTTAAGGGAAATAAAAATACATCCGGATATGAACAGGGTAAGAACAAAACAGAAATGAGGTTTGAAAACATAGATGAATGTATTAAAAGCGATATGTAATTTTTATGGTTTTCTAATACTTGTTATCATTAAAAAAATAAGTGCTCTCAGAATTGGAGCTACATTTCCTGGGCATAGTGGCTCTTGCCTATAATCATAGCAACTTGAAAGGCTGAGGCAGGAGGATTGCAAGTTCAAAGCCAGCTTTAGCAACTTAGCAAGGTCCTTAGCAACTTGGTGAAACCCTTTTTCAAAATTAAAGAAAAAAGGGGCTAGGGATGTAGCTCAGTGGTTAACTACTCTTGGGTTCAACACCTGGTTTAAAAAAAAAAAAATTGGAGCTACACTGAAGAAATATTTAGAAGTGATTCCATGATAGTACCTAAATCTAAAAGTGACTTTGAATCATTGTGTATATTTTTTAATTTCTTCAAGAAACAGAAGGGAATGGGTAGATGCCTGTAATCCCAGTAATTTGGGAGGCTGAAATGGGAGAATTTCAAGTTTGAGGCCAGCCTTGGTATCTTAGTGAGACCCTCAGCAATTTAGTGAATCTCTGCCTCAAAATAAAAAAAATAAAAAGGGCTGGCAATAAAGCTTAGTAGTAAAACTCCCCTGGGTTCAATCCCCAGAACAAAAACAAACAATAAACACCAGAAGGGAAATTGTCCAATTGCCACATAAGAGTTTCAGATGACACATAAAAAAGTATTCTCACTTCCTTTCTGGCTACTGTATTCCATAATCCTGTAATGAAAAAGAGAAATGTAAAGGCAGAGAAATTTTTAATAGTGCCTTAAGACAAATTCTTGATGAAGGAGTTCTGCCTTATTCTTTGCTGAATCTTCAGTGCTAACCAACAAGCCTGGAATTCTGTATCTTTGGCATAGTCCACAAAGATGACATAAGACATAGCAACGAATGTGTGTAGTTTTGGACATGGTTTTGGACACAGGGCTGGAATGTATGGATACACACATGCATTCTCACAAACACACAGAATATGCTTAGGAAAGTCAGTGTCTTCTTCACACAGAGGAAAAGGCTTGAACTATGGAGTGAAAAATGAATAAATGACTACATTGAGTGAAGGAATCTTCCCAAAGCTACCAGAAACACAATGACATTTTTCTAAAAAGTTTACTGTGAATGGACTGAAAACACAGTGTTCCTTTATGTTTTCACACACAAAAAAATCTATTTTCTACTTAAGTATTCAGAAATTGTTTGTGATGGACCAGGTATTCTTCACAAACATTCTGTTTCAATAAAGTTGTCTTGACACATAGGGATGATAACCTTGATTTCACTAAGTAATTCTAGTTTACTATATGTTGAAAAACAAATCAACATTATTCTAAATAACTTATTTGCTGGAGGAAAGCTTCTCTCATTTCCAAGCCCTCCCATTGAGTAACTTGGTTCATTGTTGCTGGCTATGGTCACCCAACCCCACAAAGTCTTTGATCCATGTTAGAGTCTACGGAGATGCTGCCCTTGAAAAACCTTCCCTGTTGTTTTTTTTTTTTTTTTTTTTTTCTATTCAATAAAAAAAAAGGCATTTTAACCTAAAAATGTGCTGCTCCAAGCACCTGGATAACAATGTTACATCTATTTTGGT